ATGAAGATGTGAGGTAAGAAGTGAGGTACCACAGAGACCATGTGCAGCTATCTGCAAAACACGGTGGTTTTGGTTTTGGGTTGAGCGTTGGACATCTTATCAACACTGTGTGTAATGATGAACACAGAAAAGTATTAGAGTTGGATCCCCCATGAAATACTGTCTTTTTTATTTTATTTTTTTATTTATATATTTTATTTTTTAATAAACAACCTATAAGAACACAAATAAACCATAATAAACAAACGGGTGTACCATCTAGTGTGTGTATATATATATATACACGCACACACACACACACACACACCCATATACTTAGACATACATACACATACCTACATACATATGTATTTGCCTATACACTCATACATACTGACATATACATATATACACATAACCGTTCAGAAATATGGCATACATAATTACAGAGATTCAAACAAAATCAGGTCTCCTTGACAAAATGTAATGTTTCCATTTATCCCAAATATCACTAAATATGTCATATTGGAGTCTATTAATGAAGGTAATTCTTTCCATTTTAAACATCCCATAAACAATCTCATACCAGTCATTTAGTGATGGAATTTTCACACTAAGCCATTTCTTGGTAATAGTCTTACGGGCAACCAGACTCAGAATACCATACAACAGCTTGGACATTTTATCTACATTCACTGAGTATAAATATCCAAACAAAACTTCATCCCAATTAAAGGGAAGTTGCATACTAAAAATGATCTGTAACTCAGAATGAATCGATACCCAAAAAGTGTTGATCAATGGGCAAGACCAAAACAAGTGGAAGTGTTTTATTCCTTGGGCCCCACAGTTTCTCCAGCAGCTAGAGTGATTAGAATAATGTTTACTTTGTGTAGGAGTAATAAAAAACCTACAGAGACTCTTCCAACCAAAACATCTCCATATATTAGAACTAGAAATTCTCCACTGAAAAGCACAATGCTGATACCAAATGTCATTTGAAATTGCTGTATTAGTTTCTCTTTCCCATTATTTTTTTTAATGTAGGTAGTATTCTGCTTCTTGGGTCTCCAAGAGGAGGGGAATACTGTCTGATTGGTTGTAGCATCATTTATTTGCCTTACATACTGTATTCCCATATATGTTTCCTTAATTTTCAACAAACAGCTACACCTACTCCCCATTTTCCTAACAAAATATAAAGAAACTGGACTTCACACAGTGTTACATGTGCAACTCCTTGATGGCATTTTCTAAAAGTAGTTGTAACTACAGCCTCTCATAACATGGCCAAGCCAGTGCTATTAGTTATACTGAGTGTGAGAGACAGGACCAAATGTATTGACAGACGCACAGATCAAGACAGAAGATGTGGGTAAGGTCCAAAGAAGACACATAAAGTGGTATTATTACCAGTCCCATGTGTGATATGGTAGTGCTGCACAGAAAACGATCACACTCTCAGGCCAACAGTGCTTGCGTCATATCTTGACACCCCCCTCCTTCCTCCCCTCTGAAAATAGAGTATAATGAGAGGTGGACATGTAAGTGTGTATGTGTTTGGAAGCAGCTATAAAAGTCATATTGTGTCGTCCCCCCCTTCATCTTGCTCATCTTACCTCCATCTCCTGCCCTTCTGTCTTCTCTCTGCTCCAATTCCTCTCCATCACCTTTTGTTTTGCCTTATTTCTCAGCTGCAATCATCCACCCCTTTATTCAGGTAAGACAGAAAATAAATAAACACACACACAAACATTTACAGGTGCAAGAGGCCACACATAGGACACTGGAAGCTGAAGATTTAACTGCAATTTTTTTTCAGGGATTATCTGTGACAAGCAGAGAGACTTCAGCTAAGTGAAATAGTTGTAAATTACCAAGATATGGATGACACAGGGGGATAAACTGTTTGTAGCTGCAGGATGTGCATCAGGGGTGTGTTTGTGTAAGCCTGAGAGTGAACGCTCCGCTAGAAATTCGACTAAGAAAATCAATCAGGAGCACCATTGATTCAGGATTTGCAAGGCCTATGAAACACAACTTGATAAAGTTAAAATGTCCAGTTGATAAAACACTGGGGGGGGGCATGAATATTCTTGATACAGTATTAGAGTGCCAAAGAAGAATAACAAGCTATGTAAATGTATCTTTTTGAAATCAATTCACAAATTGTTAAATATGGGGATGTTTGGTGGTTTGGTTTTGGCTCCCCTGCAGTAGCTTGTTTTAAATAAAAGGTAATGTTAGCAGCACGTGTTGGTCTCGTGGGTGTTTCCTTGCTCAGGTTTCACCAAGAACAGGTGTCAGTGGCACAGCAGCTGTGCTGCAGTAGCTAATGTCTGCTGTAGATGATTTTAGGTCTTGTTGGTATTTTGAAAAGAGGACTTAAATAAGACACGCTTCACTGAACAATACACTTTATTGTGCCATGACTCAGAACTTTAACTGGTAGATATTTATATGTGCTTTAGGGTATTATGCTGATCTGCTTTTCAAATCATTAACGCCACTAGAAAAAAATTAAAAAAGTTAAGTTGCTGGTTAGAACTGTATCTACTTTTCTAAAGAAACACGACTTATTTATAGCACACTCGCAGGCAAGAGTGGCTTTCAATCCTCAGTGAAGGTCTGTTATGTTATGATACTAAAATATAACCCCGCATATCCATCACAGCAGGCACATCCTTCACTGCAAGTTAAATAAAGTCACCGAGTGTCATTCATAATATGTGAGCAGAAACATTGTCACTCTGCGCACTGAAGTAAGTGGGCGCGCACAATTACCCACCCCATAAGGAAACCCAGTTACCTCGGGCTCTGCCGTGTATGTGTACTTTTTTGTTATGTTATCCAATATATTATACATATATATTATATGTTATCCTTCATGTTATTTTGAGCATTTTTGTTCTTGTTCTTTTAGAGATACACACATAATATCTGAAATGAAATTATTATGATTATCACAACTACTACAACTATTATTATTGATGAAAAATGTGTGTTTAAACTTTAAAAGATAGCCTGGCCTTCCTCGTTTGTCTCTTTGTGTCGGATTTGAGTGTGAAACAGTTCATACATGTGGTTTAAACACAGATTTATGCAACTGAGGCCCAGTTTGTCTGCATTACAAGTGACATTACGTTTGAGGGCACAGTCATGGAAAAAGAAAGCGCACATGCTCGTGAACACCTGTTGCAAAGTTCATGAACAGTGGGACAAAACCTGTGAATTTTACAATGAGCTGAAAGAACGTCGGTTATGTCATCTGAATGTTTAGTTTTGTGTTTTACAAAATACAAAACACAAAATCTGACAAGATCCAGAACAACAACTAACTGGAACCGTATGACTAAAAACAACTGTAGCACGTTCCCAAAAGCAAAAAATGTTATCCCTGAGATGGCTTCATTTCATCAACGCTTTCTATTTGCATCATCTTATTGACAGGAAAAAAATCTGCACATCTCCAGACATTTCACAAACCACAAACAGATGCTCACTAACTGGTTTTTGGACGGAAAGCAAGAGGATGACAATGAATTTTTACTTTTATCATTCTGTCCTTTGGACAGGAAGGCCTGGGATTTTCCAGGGGTCAGGATAGTGCAATCTGCACAGGGACTACTGACATGACCCCGGTGGGGCTTTGCAAGTCTCTCAGCACACGTATCCTGACTGTGAGACATATACTCTTACATACTCAGGAGCTCACATCTCTTAAAGACACAAAACCCACTCATCAAACATCTATCTTGA